CCCAAAACAAATGATCCAAGAACAGTCATAACACCACACACTCGCAGCAAACACACAGCGATCCCATTGGAGAAGACAGGGTCACCTGATCGGAGACAGACCCCCCCCCCTCCAAAACACACACACACCCCTTCCCTGTCCCTGTGAAAATAAAGGCAGCCAGGTGAATGAGATTGATAATCCTTTTGGTCAAAAAACACTCCCCCACCCCCCCCCAAAACAAAATCACACCATTTAACAGGGAAGGAGACAGAAGTCTCATTGCACAGCAGCGCCATCCATTTCAGGATTTTACAAGCTGGTAGACTCCGCTACATACCTTACAGAAAACAGATATTTTAGCTTCATGGATCTACTTATGTAAATCCAGTCAAAACCATGTTAACCAGCAGAGGCCTGGTGCTGGCTCATTATATAGAACAGCCCTTAAGCTGGTAAAATGAGAGACTGCTGTGCAATAGGAGCACTGCCACCCCTCTGTGAAAAAAGCATTACCCTTAACAAATAGATCAATAACAATTAGGATATAACAGTAATCTTTAAGAAAAAAAAGCAGCAACAAAATCTGTAAATGGCAAATCTCTAAAACAGGACCACAGAGCACCCAGTCAGCAATGTAAGCGTGTAACCCCCTTCACCAACACCTAGTAGCAGACCTTGTCTGCTAACGACTATGAAAAAGCCCCAGGCTTATCTCAGCTGAGCTCAAAGGCACGTCAATCCCTAATGAAGGGCTTGGCACTGACCCCGTGGAGCCCCAGAGGGCACAGGGCAGCACAGCGTCAAACACTGAGGACCACGTCTCCCTCTGCTGGCCGCGCGGCACAACTGCAGCCCAGAAGGACTGCCCTGTCCACGGACATTCAACCACCTGAATCGGCTCGTTGGCAAATTGGTCCAACTAAGCCAATGACGTCTTCCAGCTCCGAAGGTTCTGCTGCTGCTTCAAACAGAAGCAGAAAACCTGTAATGAAAGGGCCAATCACAATCTACCAAGCAACCGATGCCAAGGCAAGCTACTGTAATCTGCACGAGCTTGGACAGAGTGAACCATATTAAGGCAAGACCAGCCATGCATCTTAAAAACTGCTCAAAGTGGCTGGTCCCGGTTTGCTTCACCTCTTTTTAACCCCCTCCTCTCTGTGGACACCTCTCTCCCCGCCACCTCACCTGTTAAACTAGTCCTAGCTAGGTTTCCAGTGCAAACGAATGCAGACAGCTTAAAATATAAGCAGCACATAAAAAGTGGGATGACTGCCGAGGCTGGTAACGATGACAACGCTGCAGCTACATCAGCCCAGCTGAGAGGTCAGGTCCCCGTTTCCTTCAGTCGGGGTGAGAGAATAATTCTCCCAGCATCCTTTGCAAAACAGGATGTTGGACAGCCCCCATCAGCACCCTTTCTACCCCTGCAGACAGCACAGATGCCCTACCCCCAGACAGCGTGAGAGAGCACCGCTCATTAAATTCTTTAAGACTCTTCATGTAAGTATCCTGCAGCTCACGAAAACCCAGGACAGATCTCACTGCTCCGCAGCAGGCGTCTCAGAGGCTCCCCTGTCAATAAAACACACTGCTGGGAGGGGGGTTCTCAGCACAGTCTCGCTGACTGGGCCTCCACTCACCCCCACAAGGCAAAGCTCAGTGAATGCAAATAAAGATAAATAAATAAAACTCGAAAGAAATCAATCATGGCACAACATAAAATCTCTCCCTCCCCCCCCCCTCCCCTCTTCCCCCAAAATAAAATCCAAATTAAAATCTGAAAATGTCTTTAAAAGTGGGGAAAAACAGTGTGGTTGCTGGGGAAACCAGGGCGTGCTCCTCTCCAGACCGGAGAGCCCAAAGAGACGAGCAGCTGGGGCCAGGCCTCTCCTACTCCAGCTTCACCCCCGTCTTCTCTGTGTTGAGGAGGTGCAGGCTGTCGTCGATCAGGAAACTGGGGGAGAGAGGAGAGAGAGGGGGTCAGATGGGAGCGAGGGAAGGAGGGCAGGGGGAAAAGAAAGGAGGAACAGAATGGGAAGAGTGAAAAGAGGACTGGGCAAGGGAGCTAGAGGGTGGGATCGTGCCCTGGGGCAGTAGCCCTGGAACTCGGTTTCCTGACGTTACTGCCTGCCACCCAGACAGTACCCCGGTCACAACCCACA